CATCAAGCTGGATGCTTGTAGTTGAGCGAGCTTTCGTTGGGTTTCGTCCTTCTAGGCACCAGACTCTCAAGGAGCTGAATCTTGCTCGTCAAAGTCGCGGGACTGCCCACATCTGCCACAAGTGCAAGAAGCTGGGGCGCAACCGCGTTGATGAGGAGGTGGAGCTTTTTGTGTCAACTTGGTGTGGAGCGCCTTGGGTGCACATGTGCGCTAGTTAACTTGAGTCCTTCGTCCTTTGAATCTGGTGAAGAACCAGTTATGAAGCCTGAGGCTTTAGTTACTGTCTTGACGAGACTGTTTCCTCAAGAGAAAGCTCTGCGATCCCCACGGTTGGTTCAGAAGAGGAAAGCTCTGGAAGATGGTCCATACGTCCAGTGCCTGGGACTTTGCAGGAAAGTCAGCATGGCTGGGCCGCTGTTTTTTTTGCCAATTACCCTTTCCTTCTTACTTCCTCTCCCTTGTCCATCCCTTGTCTATCTTGTCCAGTCAGCCAGTCGAGTTTCTTACGTGGTGAGATTGTTTCACCTCTTGCTAATTGGGTGGGCTGAGTGCTTGCTTTGTGATGAAAATGCCTTGTTCAACCCTTGCTGCGAACACAATCAGGGCCGTAGTGGCAAAGGTCCGGAGGAGAAATTGGGTGGCCGAAGAGCCTGAAGCCCGAGCCGCAAGAGTGCCAGACAACAATGTCTTTCGTCGAGATGCCCAGCAGATCATGAACTTCCTTGTTGCAGAGATCATAGCGCACACCTATGAAGCTGGCAGCGATTTGGAACTTCTCCGAAGGCTGAACAGACTGGAAACACATGCGGCCATCGATTGTGGTGACAAGTACCATTCCACGGAGGCGATCCAGTTGGTGGAACATCTTTGCTAAGATGTACGTTGCTTGATGCCGAAGCTATCCATGCAGCTTTGCCCGGATTAGGGGTCCCAAGCCGTTTTGCTATCATGTCCGATGGCGTAAGCCTTGGTGCAACAGCATTTGCCAGACACGAAACATTGCTGGTGGTTGCGCTAAGCAAAATCTCCATTCACACTGGCAGGCCTCATGCAATCCTCATAGGTGCGCCTAGCGTTGGCTTGTTTCATTCTGGAGCCAGTCAAGCAGAGAAAATTAAAGCTGCGTTGGCAGACCACCCAAGCAAATTGGATGAAGATGTATGCCAACGGCGGTTAGTGGCAGTCGGAGGGGATGGTGCCGTGCAAGCTGGCGGCCCAGCAGCAAAGCACAAAAGCACGCAAGCCGGGCTGCTAGTTTGGAAATCTTTCAAGGATGATGATGACAAGGCTTTTCTTGAGTGGGACGCCTTCCATAGGGAGAACATCGCTAGGAAGCGGGCATTTAGAAGTGTAGGTCTTTGGGTTGAACTTTATGATTTAGCAGCAGCGATGAGCCAGCTATTCGGCATCGGCCAGGGCAGAATTGTGCTTCGCTCTACGGCCGCCCACATTGAAGCCAAGGCCTTGTCTGTCCCATCAATTTCGGGTACGAGGCCAACCGTTTCTGACCATGGCGCTCCTGGGAATCTATATGCCAACTTTCGTGCATATGCGTCAAGTATGCATTCACGAATGGACCTAGCTCGAGATGGATTTGGGAGCCAGTCACTCGACAAGTTGGTCTCTATCGGTAGACGACTCACAGTGGCTTGGCTGTCCCTAGCCCCATTTTTGAGATATTCTGGTATTATTGTATTAGGTGTGCATAGGTTGTGAGAAGTTTTGGCCCTTGCATTGTACTCGGGTCAAAAATGTGGCCTGAGGCCATTGATTCGGTCACGTTTTTGATTTTGTTTGAGGATGTTGGGCATTATGCACTTTGCAGCCGTGGACAATCATTTCAAAGCAACTCTGCCGATTTGTGGACAGTGGAAGATGCAGCGTCCAAGAGCATAAGTGCATTGCGGCAGTGCCTCCGGGATGTTTATTCTTTGCGCCGTTTTGTGCTCATTTGTATGCTCTTGAAGTGCTATTTGACTGTGAAGGCGGGTCACACGCGCCGTCGATGGAGTTTCTTGCGCGGCCAAAGTTCGCAAGGAACGAAGGTCCAAACTTTATTGTAAACTCAAACCAACCTGTAAAGTCAAAACCTATAGGTCAGGCGTGCTGTTCCATGTGTGTCCAAACTCGCGGGTTTGAAGCCTTTTCCCTTGATGCCCTTTTTGGCCCGTTTTCTAAGAATTCGCGGACCTTAAAAGGGCATTTTGCAATCCTTTCATTTGTTGCTTGAGCGCTGTGTTGGCTGCTACTAGATGCCTGTTTCTTACGCTGGGCTCATCTGCAGGAAATCGAACTTTTTGTGCGAGCGTACTTACTATCTTCCTTCGGTAGACCTTGGAAGCGCTTTCTGGCCAACCTCGGTAGCCTGCTCTTGCGGCACCAGTTTCAAAAATGCACATTGCAGGTTCCAGTTGACCAAAGGGCCGGACTGCGATGCATTGCGCCCATTTGCCAATGTGGTTCATTGTTGGTGCGGGATGAGCCTATGACCGTGTCCAAACGCATTATGTGGAAAAAAGGTCGTCGGAAGCAAGTTCGTATGCCGCGTTGGGTTGCCCGTTCTCAATTGGCATTTGAAGTGGCAGGAGCTGCCCCCATGAATGTCGTGCCTCCAAGATATGAAACAAAAGTCCTCCCTCCAACACCACTTGGCATGCAAGGAGTGAGGGGTTTGTACAAGAAACCAGGATGCCTTGTGGCCTTAGCAGACCCGCACATATTTTCCAGCATTGATGTTGGGCTTCGCGAGATGGGGCGTTTACTCTCCGCCCTCCTTCAAGAACACGAAGCCTATTTCGGACCCGTTGGTATTTCCACAGACACATCAGATTTGAGGGCTGCCATGCTCAAGGCCTTTAATTGGACAGAGCTTTTACAATTGCCACAGCCCAAGCCTGAGCATGTCAAAGTATTCCGGTTTCTTCTCCGTCGGTTTGAAAAAATATTGTCAAAAACGGAGTGGCCAGACCCAGCAGTTTTTCCATATGTTCAGCGCAACTGGAGTGCAAACGGAGCACATGAAGCCCAATACATAATTTTGGTGCGGAATGTCCTCGACCTAAGCAAACAAGCTGCTTTCCAGAAGCAGTGGAACACTACCACCCATTATTCTGTGGAACCGCTCAACACGAAGAGCAACTTTCTGCCAGCTTTTGTTCCTTATTTGCGTTTTTGCGGTTGGACAACGAATTCTTTGCTTTGTGTGGCCCATGTGGTCACCAGCTTTTGTTTGCCCAACATTTCCCAGTCTTGGCGTGTGAGACCAGAGTGTTTGTGCTCAGTTGGCTCCAGCACTGCTACTCGTGGCTGGGGCTTGCAAAAGGCCCGGTACAGAGGCACATGCTTCGCATCCATAGTCAGCAGCTTCCCTGCAACGCATTTGGCCAATCAAATCGTGCAGGTCAATGCTCAAAGCAGAACTCTTGACATCGGAGCCATCGCTGCGAGCATCGACCTCTGCCCAGAAGTCCATGCATGTCGGAGCGCAAGTCATCACGCCTGGCACGCTGCTTTTGTTCACCATGTTTCTCGCGCACATGTCTGCGCAGAGTGCCTTGGCTGATACTTTTCTATACCGCATAAAAAAAATATGTATCAAAAATCAATCTAGCCGGTCAACAGTTTGCAATGTTTTCTCCGAAGGTCCTTCTGTGAACGGGTTGGATCTTATCTTCACGATATATTTGATAAAGACTCCGCTATGGCGCCAGCAAGAATTGTGAGCCGCTTGCATATTCGAGAGGGCCGACTGCAATGCATAGGTGCTCCAAGAGATACAGCTATATCATTGAAGAAGTTTCGCGAGCTATGCGAGAAGATCTTCGCAACTAGCTTTAATTTCACGCCTTTTACGGCAGAAAACGTTTTTACTTGCTTTCTCATTATTTTGGCAAAGTGTAATCTTTACACGGGCAGCTCAACAGAAGATCAAGCTTTCTTGACTATATGTTCGAAGATTTACACTTCTACCGACATTTTCTTCCGCAGTGCTCCCGTGCAGCTGCAGGTATGCGAGCTGTGTTGCAGAGTCGGCAAGTGCGGCGACGGCTCCATCTTGGCTTGCAGCCATCTTCCTCCCACAAGTTCATTTCTGAAAGAAAAGCATCGATCAGAGCGGTGTCCAGCACAGGCTTGTCTAAGAATTCCCACATGCATATGTCTAGCTCCCATTTGCCAACTATCTTGAGTATTTTGTTGATATCGATGCTGCCACCGGCATGCTGCACCCACAGGACGCAGCGCTGATGCTACGCCTTTTGATTTGGACGTGAACCAGCTCTTGCTGCCCGAAGACTCCGAAGACCGTGGTTTGGCTGCATTTGCGCACGTGCATCTTTTTCATCCTGCAATGATTTAACTTGTATATGAGCACTTTTGCTGACATGTACAAACTTACAATTGTACATGCTCAACTGCATGCTTTCCATTTCGCACAGTCAGGAAAACTTTTTCGCCAGAAGCACTCTCCACTGGAGTGGTCTACGAACAACATTACTGCTTTGAATAGCCACTCAGCTCTAATTGTTGCGTTATTATACAACAAACCATTATGAAAAATAAGCAATGCCTATATGCAACTGTCACTGGCTCAGGAGCCCTGAGTCAGAGAGGCGTGTTGTCAGAGCTCCCGCTTTTCGTTGATCGCAAAGCTCGCAAAGGCCAGCCGCGATCCACGTTAGAGGCAAAGCTTGCTGAGTGGTTGGAATCGCCAGAGGCGAAAGATTGGAAAGAAGCCAGAGAAAAGCTTTGGCAAACCGAAGCATGAAGTGCTGAAAGAGAAGTAGCTGTTACGACCTTGTTAGGTGCTTGGAATCGTGGAATTCCATGATTGGATTGGGAGGGTCATTTTTGGGACTCTCAAAGTGTAGCCAGTTGAAGATTCACCTTGAAAACTCGCTCTGTGATTCCATGGCGTTTCGATTCATAACAAGAGCCATCTTTATTCGCCCAGATTTTAAGTGTTCAAGCATCCAGCTCTGCTTCGATTTTGTTTCGCCTAAATGCCCTCCTCTCGCAAGTCCCATTCGCCTCCCAAGAAGGATTCGCCTCCTAAGACCCAGCGCACCCCTGAGAAGCAAAAAACGTGTCTCGCCTTAAATGTGAAAGACTTACAAAGAGAACACACTGCAAGCAAGCGAAGAAAACTCATTGCCTTGCCAAGAACAAACTTGTCTTGTTTGATTGTGCTTCTTATATAGGTACGAAGAGAATCGACGCAACCTGGCTCGTTACCGCCTGCGACCTGAAGAAGTTGAAAAGATTGCCAGACATGATGAGTTGGCTGCAGAGCTTGCTTCTCTCAAAGCACACTTGAAAGATGCACAAGTCAAGCTGCTGCTGAAGAAAGTGCACTCACTTGAGCAACAGCTGTGGTTTCTAAAAGGCCAGTGCAAATGCTCTGCAAACAGCGAGAATGGCCCGCTTAGTGTGCAGCACCAAGAGAAGGAAAAATGAGCGCCAGCTGATTTGAAAATCGTTACATGATATCACTTGTCTAACATTGTGGCCCCTTGCAAAAAATAAAAATGATACAGAAGCAACAATATAATCACCTGTTAAAACATGCATGGTTTGAGATAATACTCAGCTGCCACCTTTGCCCTTGAATGATATCTTGTGCTCGTGTTGCGTCTGGTATCAAATTTCAGAAGCGACGATTTTTTCCACTGCCCACGCAGGTGATTGGCGCCTGCTTGCGGAGATTAGTTTCTGCCTGTGGAGAAAAACAGATGTCAGTGTGCACACCTGCTAGAAGGGGACATGATCAGGATCCAATGAGGAATAGAGTTTACGAGTCAGAAACAAAATATCCGAATATACAGAACTCTCCAGAAGAATTATAAGGGCTTGAAGGTGAATTGTTTTTTGGTCCAAACGCGATGTTTAAGGAAGTCTTTTAAGAAAGACTGTACCATCTCCACAGAAGGAACAGTGGCCCTTTACACCACAGACACGGAGTGTAGCTGCAGAGCAGAAGGGGGTACCCCATGGCCAGGTGATCCTGTTTTCCCCAACATGAGCCATCCCAACCCAAATCGCTCCCAGCAGTTCACCAGAGCTGCTTCGATCCATTGCTGTTCCCAGGCGCTCCGGAACTGCCTTGGTGGGCTTGTCCAACAGCATGAGTATGATGGGTCGGGGAGCTCAGCGTCGCTCCGACAAGCGTGTTTGATGGTTTATGTGTAACCTGACGCTCCGTTCACAGCCCGACCGGTCCCTCAAAGCCTGGGGATTTGAGACTCCAGACACCTCCATATGAGGATCCAGGGTCGCGTCTGGGTGGCATCGTTTCTTCGCGCCCTTTTTCGAAGATGCGCAGTTTGATCGAATCCGCTTCCCAGGATGAAAGGCAACACCCCAAAAGCAGCAAGTGGCCAGTTGGCGTTTGGGATGTTTTGGAGACATCAGGGGCCTAAAGAGAGGAGCTGTGGGGCGTACACGCGCATCAGCTGCATGCGGTAACTTGATGTTCAGCACATGAGTCCATGAGTGAACTCCCCAAGTCGCCAAGCCTGAAGAGGTTTTAGGGTGCCGGTTCCGAACGGAGGAAGGAGGTTAGGTGCAAACATCCACTCACTTGGACTGAATGAGCACCCCTTGGTCACTTCTGGTTTGTGTTTTGTTTCATCACTGACAGAGTCTCCAGTACTTTGTTGTGTGCACTTCGTTTTGTGAGCGAATAGTAGTCGCCGCTGTAGATCCATCCCGCCAAACTAACATAGAACCCGAGAATTGACCTGTGGAAGACCATTTTCCTCTACAACCCAGTGGTTTTGGGGTTGCATGTCAACCTGCAGGGGAGTAAATGGCTATTTTTTATAGATTCCTCGAACAGAGGGTGCCGGTATATAACGTGTATGAACTCGCGGTGATGCCGCTGTTTGTAGCAATGTCATTGGTTGCCCCTGGTTTGGTCAAGGAGCGCCAGAGATTGCAGCGGGTCTTGCAGGTGTCTAGGACCTGGGAAGGTGCACCTAGTGAGATATGGGCTAAGTTTGCTAAGGCCTGGAGGGTGTGAAATAAGCCAGCTCTTCACATAGACCTGCTGAAGGTGTTTGGATGTGTTTAGATGTGTTTAGAGTTCGGGGCTCCAACTTCTCTCCATCCAGGATGCAAGATGATGCAACTGGCTTCCACAGGGATTTGGGATGGTACCAAAAACGCCAGATGCAAGATCGACCACCAGAGCATTCGAAGAAGTCTCCAACCAGAATTTGCAGTACCATTGTGCTTGCTTCAACTCATTTGCAGCAAATCCAGTTGGTCCCACTCCCACAAGACCCACGTGCGCGTGAGAACGTCTTCAGCCACAAGTCGCAGGCTCTCAGTTGATGCGAGCGCGGCGGCCAGGACAGGAGTCAGGTTGTTTTGATTATGGGGATTTGCAGCACAAGAGGTCATACATATGCACTGCGAGTGCCTTGTCAAATTCATTGATTTTCTCATATTTTCTCCCATGGATTTCAGGCTAGGTGATGGGTAGATGCCGGTGGTCGGTGGACCATTGCACGAGTTTCAGTAGGTCTTAGCATGACTGCGCCGTTGTCTTCGAAACCACATCACTTCGGAGTTCCCTGAAAAAGAAATCAAGCTACGTTAGGCCTTGAGTGGGGTTTGATTAGTACAGTATGGTGTACGTTGTGTTGCTGGAGGATTGAACCTCAGATGCGGCTGGGCATGTTCCGATTCAGGGAATTATGACCTACAAGTGCTATAGACCTATAAGTTTGGGAGCAACGAGTGGCGCCATTCGGTGTTTGGTTGTTTTCCTAGTGCTTCGTTTGGACAGCTTCTACTTCTGGTAAAGTAAGAGCAAGCATTGGCTTGTTGGCAAAAATGAAATGGCATGAATGGCCTACCAACATGCTTGCACATCGTGCACGAGAAATACAGCACCCCATGTTTATACAATAGAGATTGGTGTGTTGCCCATGGCCAAGTGGCTTGTGGCTTGTTATTAGCTATTGTTCCTCATGTTCCGACAGCACAACGTTGGAAGCCGTTCTTCCGGCTCATGGAAGAACATGTCCTTGAAACACTTCAAACACGGTACATTCAACCTTTCTGGACTTCTGCCTTCTCAAGACCAGCCTGCCTTCTTCACCGGAATTCTCGGGTGAAAAGGTGAAGAGGGACTGATGAACGGCCAAATCATGACAGGTTTGTGGCGAGCATTTCAGAACTCCCCCAACTTCTTAAAGGACTCCTTTGACACCGGTGCTGTTCAATTTGTTCCTGCGATCTCCGAGCGTCCCCAAAAGCGCCCCTTTTCAGGACATCCCATCGCGCAGCAAGGCTTTGTTCAGACCGATCTGCAGGGAGGAGGCCGGTGGGTTTCCGGTGGCGAAAATCACGACCGGTGGCAGAGATGTGCCGTCCTTGGGAAGGAAGAAACGACAAAGGGGCAATGTATGGAGCTGCAACCTGGGATTAGGATGAAGTACTATGATAATTATACTATTACCTACTCAGTCGGTGGAAAGCCTTAACCTTTGTTTGGGGGGAATTGGTTTACCTCAATGTGAATAGATGGAACAAAGGATGAAAAAGGTTAACTAAAGGGAACTGAGGGAGTCGGAGTCAGATTAGAAACATATATTCTGGGATGCCTGAGCCAAGTGTAGTGATGCCAAGATGCGATCGCCACTTATTGACTCCAAACTCTTGCTCGTGGTCGAGATTCCAAAAGATGAAGCACAAGTTTGCGAAAAATTGCTTTCGAGCATTGCCACACGTTCAAAGTGAACAACATGTTCCAGTGTCCGTCAGTGACCCACATTGGCTATGAAGCATTTGCTGATGGCATATCTTTGGCGAATTGGACCATCCGGACTCGGCGACCCACGTTGGACCACTTGCCGCTCGTCGGCGGAGGGGACCGGGCCCCCCAATTCAGTGACCCACATGATGCTGCCCTTAAAAGGCCCTGTTGGGAACATGGGGAACATGGGGAACCTTGACCATTGACTCGAGCACTCTCATTTGGAGATGTTCTTTTTACCGGTGACCTGCCACCCTCCAGGTGAAGAACGAACCTTGTTTGGATGCGTTGGATGTGTCGGACCGTTCCGTTCTCCCTGACCTTGACTTTCAGAGGTTCGAAACATGAGGCACTGGCACCCCAAGACCCCAAGATGTCTTTGAAGTGAGGGTCCTTCTACACCACCTAACTTGGGGGATCGTGCCATCTACTCTGCTGGCCGCTGGCCCACTGCAAGCCTTCCAATGGGTGGTCTTGATTTTCTGGTCTGCCCTCCATCCGCTGGGTTTACATCGACCGGTGATGTAACACATCCCAGACGCTCCATGTATATGCCTATAGATTGCCCCCCCAGACCACCCCAACTGATCGGCATATATGGCAGTCCCATGGAGCGTTTGGGGCATGATCCAAACTTTGAGGCCTCGGCGAGGGTGCCCGGGTGCCATGGCTGACGAAGCAGCAGGAGGCCGGCGCCAAAGACACAGGAGCCGGGCCGCGACCTGCGCGAGGAAGGCCATGTTTGGTGGCTCGGCCAGGGGCCGGTCGAGGCTGGGCGCTCAAGTGCAAAGCATAGCACACTTACAGTTGGTCTAAATGAATGTCTTCAAGGAGGCTCAGCATCCATACCCTTGTGCTGCAACAAGGTAATAAGATACAAAAGTCAAGTGCTCCGTGTATAGCAGGGGCATATGAATGCATAAGTGAATGCATATGGAACACGTTTGGCAGGTTTGCCCCCCTTTTTGGTGCAACAGTTGCATGTTTACGTACCTGATGGGGAACGTTGGAAGGCCAACTAATGACCTGTTCCCATGACCAAATCGCCATCAGGTTCGCACATCAGTTGGCTTTCCTATTTGTGCAACCTGATGTGGGTCACGTGGGCCATGTGGGGGACGTTGTGTGCGTCCATGCGTGCGACCTGTGCAGATGGCTTAATGCCCAGACCCTGGACCCGAATCCTATGAAGGGGTCGGACCCGAATCCTTTGGAGGGGTTTTGGGGGTTCAAAACCCTAGCTTTTGAGGGACCAGGGGCTGTTTGGAGCGCCTGGCTGCCCTTGGCCGTTCAGAGAAGGATCCCGTTGACCCACGAATTGCTGGATCACAATATTGCTGGTTCACCACGTCCTGTTCCCAGACACGACACATGGGACTGCCAGTCCGTTCTGCCGCCCCAGAGTCTGACCCCCAATACCACCACCCCTGGCCGTGAGTTCCTCGGCAGTCCGGACTGGCAGTCCCATGGAGTGTTTGGGAAACGGACACATACCGACAACGAGGCATGGACGAAGCCGCAGTCCAAAAGCCGAGTCTGGGGTTTGCCTTTTGGACCAACTGAAGAGTTGATCGATCTTGTTTTGACAACCGTGGAGTCTATCCATCCAGACGCGGACCCGAATCCTCGGGTCAGGGGTCCACCTTTAAACCAACCGACGCAACAGAGGTGGAGAGTGACCTGAACGTTCGGA